AGACAGATTAAGAATAATAATCTTTAGCATTTTTAAGACAATGCAGAAATACTTTAAATAAGTTACAAGGCACATTACCTTGGAACACTTTACAGAACAGAACAGGAGCAGGACACACACATATATATATATATAAGCAAGTTTAGTAAAACTGCAATTTCTGACAGTGCTCAACTGTGGGAGCAAATGTAGATGTAGAAGTTGGAAAGGTTATACTTTATTGGTGAGAGTTATACTCTTACCTCTTAATACCTCTTAACTCTTACCAATAAAGTTTAACCTTTCCAACTTCTACATATATATCTATATAAGTAATACGCTAAGGCTCCGCGGGGGGGGGGGGGGCGACGTCTCCGCGAGCCTTTGTATTTTATTGTTTTTTAATGAGATCGCCGACCGAAGTTGGTGCAGCTATCTCCTCCTAAACCCTCCCCTCGGGGTACCCGTGCCCAGTGCCATCGTCCGCGGGAGAGTCTACTCTGTGGAATTGGCTATACTACGCCCAAGGTCCTCCGTGTCGACGTCCAGGGCGAAAACAGACGCGACATGCATAATGCAGGATATGGGTGACGACAGAGATACCTCATGGATATTCAACATTACATCCGTAGACACACGACCGATGACTATCCACTCACATTAAGTTGCGTATTAAATGCACGATACACAGGGTCGGGATTACCCGAGTAAAGCATCTTTCTATAGGATATCCTTTGTAGTAGCTGCACAAGCACAAAGCCAGAGAGATACACGGGCTTCCCGTCCACGTCCAAACTTAGAGACCTATTTCCATCATGATTGCCGCGATTTGTATATAGTTCTCGTGAATGGAGGTATGAAATCAAAGCTTATTTTGTGATTATTACGGCCATGTTTAATGAATTTTAATCATCATTTCTTAAAGGAAAGTTTCACAAGAAAATCATTGGACTGACAGTTCAGTCGCAAGCTGCCTTCAGTCAACACACATACATTATGTAACTCCGGGAAGCTCCAACACCGGCGCCGCACGCTTGCGGCGCCGGTGGAGCTTTCCGGAGTTAAGTGCAGTGCTGCTGCTGTCGCGCGGCGTGGACTTTGACTGAGTGTAGAGTCGAAAAGTATGGGGGGCCAAGCAGGCCAATATTTGTACAACTATACAACTACACATACGTCTATCCATCCATCGAAGAACCCGTCAACACAACAGCGTGCGGGCCGAAGTGCCATAATTTTGTCCACCTATACAGCTACAAAACTATGCGACTTTACGTCTACTCAGCCATCGGAGACTATTATTGTCTTATATCTACAGTAAATTACAAGAAAGCATTAATTTTAAATAAGGTTATGAATTGTACTCAACCAGACAGAAGTATGTGAATTCATGCATTGCAAAACAGTTACGTAATGAGTAAAATTGTTTTGTTTTGTTTTGTTTGTTTGTTTGTTTTTTTTTTTTTTTTGGGGGGGGGGGGGGGGTTGCAGAAAGAAAATCTGCATCACCATGCACCATTCTTGCATGTTACATGCAGGCTACAAGAAACATTCTTCAAAGTGGGGGGGGGGGGGGGGATCAGATCGCAGCGAGTTGAGTGTATATATAATATAGGCGTGGGGTCCACGGGTTTCAAGGGGCCATAACCCCCTGATAGCTCAGGGGTTTTAGGCATTTAATTAGGGTCAGATGAGCATATTTTTTATTTGTGACACTGGCAGGTCACTAATTGGCGTGGGGTCAATACGTAGTGTTGCGTACCATCTACGCTTGTCTACGTTACTTATGCTGAGGGACGGAAAGGGGTAAGCAAGATGAACGAAAACAATTCAACATGTTTAATTTTTTTTGCGTACTTTCGGCGTAGAAACTTGACGCAGAAAGTACGCCTTTTTACGCAACACTACGCTACATGCCTACCCAACAGTACGCTACCCTACGCCAGATCGACAAAGCAGTAAAAGCTTTCCACACAGTAAGCAACCATAAGCAAACATGTACGCCAGCCTATGCATAACCTACGCAGGGACTATTTTCCCATTAATACGCAGCCTAATTTCTTCGTAGTCGGTACGCCACACTACGGAACTCTACGCAGTTCCAGTTGCTTATAGAATAACTACTGGTACAGTTGGATCATTTTTTTATTTTTTTATGTAAGGCCAAATAAAAAAAAAACATGTTTAGCGTCCTGTTTTTTTGAAAAATAGGAAGGAGACCCTTTTTTTTTTTTTTTTTTTCTTTCAAAATGGCCGCTCAAAATGGCCGCTCCGTACATTTTTCCTGACATTCGGGCTATTTTTCAAGATGGCGGCCGACAATCTTTTTTTTTTTAAATCAGAAATACATCCATTTTAGCAGTGTTTTTTTTTTTTAAATTAAAAAAAATTAAATAGGAGGCAGCCCCCAAAAACGAAGCGGGCGGGACGCTAAACATGTATTTTTTTTTTTAATGGCCTAAATGGCAAATAAAGTTCTCGGTGGTTTTAATTTAGACAGTTTCTATATATCTATTTACACCCCCGCCCCCCTCTAGAATCCCGCGGATTTCCGCGGGTCCTGCTAGTATATATATATATATATATGCATACACCAGTCCTGTTCTCTCTCTCTCTCTCTACTTCTTTTTTATATAGAGTGGAATGCATTCAACTGCAGGTTTTCTTTCTGCCTTAAGGGTCGTTCAGATATGACGCAGTCAGTAAACAGCCGCTATTTTCTTATGTGTATTATTTATGAATGGCAACTGTGCACAGCAAAGGTCCTGCAAGTATTCTCTGAGCCCTGTGTTATGATACGTATGATACTTTGCGTCATCATAGAAAAAAATTTCTGCATTTTGCGCCATCATATCTGACAAGGCCTTGATTGATATTGTTAATCTTTCTCAAATGCAGCATTTGCTTGCAACAATGGGCAGTTCATTCACCGAGGATTTGTGTGTGACGGATTCAATGACTGTGGAGATTTTACAGATGAGCGTCAAGACTGTGGTAATTATAAATTAGTTAACATCATAGCTGCTCATAAGAGATAGTAACGTCAACAGAAGTATTTTCCCGAGTGGTTATGTCATTTCATGGAGCTTCTGATAGTTCCCTCCCATAGAAATTGTAGGTAGGCGTGAACTATTTGGAGCTCTATAATTTGACCTATGACATCACTTGCCAACACATAATGCATGTGTGTCAACTATACTTCAATACGCTATGATTATCATGTCATCACTAATCAGTTAATGTTATATAATAATGTATTGGTGAAGAGGTCGTGCCCTCTGGGTGAGAGCAAAAAGAAGGTAGGGGGAGGGGAGAGACAAAGAAAAATGAAGAGGAAGAGAGGAGTAATAAATTAAATGTATCATAATCAGAGAATGCTGAAAAGCCAACATACATGTATATGTACCTGCCCATTGTAGCTGGGGTAATTTAGAAGCACAATTAAAATATCTCCTCTCTCACTCTCTCTGTCTGTCTCTCTCTTTCCTCTCTATTTCTCTCTCCTCTCCCTCTCTTTCTCTTTTCTTTTCTCTCTTCCTTTCTATTTATTTCTGCTCATCCCCCTCACTCTAACTCTCATCCAGAGGACATGACCTCTAATACCATTAGCCAATACATTACTAATGTTGTAATTTAATTTTCATTAAGATATTTGCTTTGATTATACCTTATTTCTATTATGAAGGACGTAGGAAGGGGGTTAATTTTGATTTTATTTAAAGGTGATGAATCAGAAAAGTGAGAATTATTTGGATTTCAGATATTTTTATTCCTTTTTTTCTTCTTCAATGGGGTTATTTTAAAGAAAAAGCGTGTGTATCATACTACGGGGTTTATTGTGTTTAGCTGTCAAACAGAAACTATATCAAGCTTTCATATCAAATAATTTTTGGAGCAAATTAGATTATACCAACAGTATTTAACATGGAACAATTATCTTCATATTTCAGAATGTGCAGCCCATCAGTATGATTGTGGTGAGAAATGCATTTACAAAAACAACGTTTGCGATAGCTTCGTAGACTGTGCTGATGGAAGTGATGAAAAGAACTGTTGTAAGTGAAACTCATCTTTCAAGGATTATTTATAGAAGGATAAATCATAGTGAATTGAAACCTCTGAAGGATCTTTATTTCAACTGTTTTAATTACTATATATACTGTGTATACATATTTGTGTGTATAATAGTATTGTGTGCGTGTGTGGGTGTGTGTGTTTAGTACCAAGTGGGCGCTATTCTATGATGTGTTTTCAATCACACATGAACATGAAGACCATGGAGGTTAAGGGGACAACTATTTGTTTGAAATCCATAAAAAAAAGTTTCAGATTAATGGGAGTATTCAGTCTTGACAGGTGGCATGTATTTTTAAGAAGTTCATCTGAATGATAGAGTAGGTTATAAGTATCGCACACATGTATTCAAATTGTGTGCGAAACTGAAGACTGGCACAAAGTAAAGATTTGAGACATTTCACTTTCTTCCAAATTTTCTGGTGTGTCCCTCACAGCATGGAACTATAGTAATTCTTGTATATTTCTTTTCTTCAGCATGCCAAAGCTTTCAGTTTGAGTGTGCCAGTGGAGAATGTGTTAATTTCTGGCAACTTGGTGATGGAGCATCTCAGTGTAGTGACAGCTCCGATGAAATTACAGAAAACAGTCAATGTAAGTCTCTTTTATTCAAGAAAATGATGTACAAGTATGTACAATGTTCATTTTAATCTGTAGAACTCAATTTAGATTACAGACACTTGTCAAGTCAACATAAGTTTTGTGAGATTGAGATCCACCTTCCTTTTTTTTTATCTACGTAATAAGTCTCAATTATCTTCCATATATCAGCTTGAATGCAAAACGACATTCAGTAGCAATTAACCTTATTTGTTTACTTTGATGTGTGAATACAGGTTGTAGATTTTTACAAAAAGATAGATACACATCTGCATTTTAAAATGATGTGCTGAAATTGTATTGTGTAAAATTAGTATAACAATAAATGTATAATTTGTTTAGTAATGAACATGTCCAGTTCATAAGATGCCACAGAGAATGATAAATAGTAGCCAGCTCTTCAGCTGGATGCTTTTTTTCTTCCCTGATCTATTTGGTTAAATTCAGATAAAACATTTAATGGTAGGCTTAATAGCTTGCACTTTTAAAATATTGTTGCCCTTTGCTGCAAAAAACTGCCAGGGCAAGATACACTGACAAACGTAATTACTATCTTATAACACACAGATAAGTTAAATTTGTACTTACGTGCTTTGGTCTGTGCAGATACTTTTTCACAACCCCACTTGCCATTCATTTACATGTAGAAAATAAAAATCCTGTACTGATTAAACCACGTCATACCTGAAGGAGTCTCGATGGTATTTGTGTAATTTATATGTCTTTAATATTTCTCTTATATCCATAGACTGTCCTGGCAATTACTTCCAGTGTCATAACTTCGGCAGCTGTCTAGCCCGCAGTGACGTCTGTGATAACCAGCAAGACTGTACTGATGGAAGTGATGAATGGTTTTGCTCTAGTGACCCACCAGGTACATTAGTGTTTCATTACCCATTGCACAAAGGGCATCATTTCCATTGCATTATTACCTCCATTAGTTGGGCCTGGAAAGGCAATTAGCCAGTGCGCAATTTTTGTTAAAGCGTTCTTTGCACTTTTTGCCTTGCAATCACGTTTTAGACAATGTCACCCTCACAAGCATGGTGCTTCAAAATCTTGGTACATTTTATATGATGCTCCTAAGCTCCCAATCGAACAGGAGATGCATTCGGTCCAGTTTGTATGACGGGGGTGTTATCATAAGCAGCATATATATGGTAACATGATCACAAAGAATTTCAAGAAATCAACTCAAGGCCAATTTTAATATCCCATTGTCTTGCCTTCAGAAATCATTTTCGGATTATGTTGCATGTCATTTTCATGTTACTACAATAGTTAAGATGACACAAAAGGCTATTAGTCAGTTTGTAGATACTATTTCCACATGGGCTGAAGCAGCTAGGTAGGTCATTTGTATAGATCTGTAATACCCACCAAGATGAATACAGGATCCATGTTCATGAAGTTATGTAATCATTATTCATTTATGCTCCTAATGTACACTGTATGATACACAGGTCGAATTATTCTTTTCAAGAGGGCAAACAGAAGTTATTCATGAAGAACTTTGGCAGTGGATATTCTATTAAAAATACATTGATACTTCTCCATGTTTAAAAGACTCAGGATATTTTTACCATCTGCTATCTATAAACTGGTCTATTGACATTGCCTGAGGTTGATTTTTCTTAAGTCTTTACAATTATGTTTAGTATTGATGGTGCGGATCATATTCTAATGCTGCCACCACTACATTACAACTACAATATTTGCCATCAATTGGGCCCTCATAATAGTCATGTCATCAATTCTATTATTTCACTATTTATCTCTTTTTGAACAAGCCAGTCTAGTTTTTTTTAAGGCTAACATCACATTATGTATTTCATTAAGGTGTATTTGCACTTTTCACTTTATGATATCTCATCCGGTCATCGACTAAAATGTCTTTTTCTTTTTTCTTTATTTTTTTCTTTTTTCTTTTTCTTTTTCTTTTTCTTTTTCATTTTGTGTATCTTTATCATGAATGTCTTTAAATCTTTCACAAATGGGCCACTGGCTGTAACAAAAAGAAAGATGATAAAACCTTCCTCTCGGTTCAATTCAATATCCAGGAAATGATGATAATATGACGTTGAGCATTCTTTAACACTAGTTGACACTTATTATATTTGTATAATTCATATGATATAATTAATTTAATTAATTAAATAATAATTTTGTGTAACCAACAGGGTTTAGAGGGCAAACACATCGTCCTTAAATCGGAATACATGTCAGATTGCCTAAAAACTGCCATAATTTGTATCATGTTTTCTCAAAATTTCCAGCTATCATACTAATTTTAATGTAAATATAATGCCCTATCTATCAAGTGATAAATGATATGATTCAAGAAGGGAAAGGCAAGAAATGCAGACGAAAAAAGCATCACTAAATTACACAGTATTTATGAGCCTCATTGTTTCATAAAAAAACATGAGCAGGATACCAACATATAAATTTATGTATTTTATTCTATTTCGTCACAGATGAAGTAGTCCTTAACACAGGAGAGTGTTTCAACCTGACATCACCTTCATATCCAAACGACTACTCTAACAATCTAAACTATATCTGGACTATAAATGGAGCAGTTGGGGACTCTGGTATACGCATGAAATTTGATGTCTTCTCTTTAGAATCGGGCTATGATTTCTTGGATATCGGGGTTGGTACTTTTGATGGACATTACCTTTACCATTTCACTGGGACGTACTCTATTAAAAATCATGGCATTGCGGAGTTTGCTGTGGGGGCCTCTAAATCACTTTCAGACACTATTCGAGAATCAGAGTCAGATGGTCGGAAGAAGCGATCAGTTACTTCTGATTTCTGCAATGCCTCCACATCTTACTACGATTACGGAAGTTTCCCCAATGTTATCCATCTAAACAGTACAAAGATGTGGCTACGAATGACAACAGATGGAAGCTATGTCTATAAAGGCTTTGTCTTGCAGCTCATTTCTACAAGATTTGAAAGTAAGTCTGTCAATTAATTCTAGAGACCTTCATCATGCTGTATTTATATACAAAAATACAAGAAATGCATGTAATTGTTATACAATTTCTTCCTTACAGAGCATTATTATTTTTTGTATATTTCTCGTACTCTAAGCAGAACTCTAGCCTTCCTTTTTTCTATATATATATATATCTATCTATATATATATATATATATATATGTGTGTGTATGTGTGTGTGAGGGTATGATAATGGTCACAGAACAAAGGATTAAGTTTAAAAGCAATCAGCCCCTGCCCTCCTTCAGCTTTTATTTTGCTGAACAAGTTGTTTTGCTTCATATTGCTTTTTTTTCTTGAGCAAAATTAAAAGCTGATGAAGGGCTGATAGCTTCTCAACTCAATTGTCGTGACCTGCTCTATCATGTGACCATAATCATACCCTCACATATTTATGTTAAAAATAGTACCGACCGGTAAAAGCATCCGTACCTATCCTGCTTTATATAATATATGAACATACCTCTCATTGTGGTGATATAAATTGGCAAATTAACAGAAATCACAAATTGACCAGACAAATGAATGTTTATAATCAAATTGAAAGATGAATAATTTCAATTGTACATGATTTGAGCCCCATTATTCTCAGTAAAACCATGTTAAACTTTGCTTAGGCAGAATGATTATAGATATGATGCTCCGTACAGAGGTCTAAATCAACACACTATTGCCTAAAGGGCTTTCTCAAGTAAATTATTTAAAAAATGATGAATAAATGTATATATTGCACACTTATCCATCCTAGAGGATGCAAATGCGAAGTACTATTATTATCCAGGCTTTATGCCTCAGTCACACCTTTGCGTATGTTGCTGCGTATTGCTGTGCTATGCGGGGTATATCAATACGCAGCCGTGCCTAGCAATACGCAGCAAATTTGAAGGTAGCAGTCACACTATTGCGTATCTAGCTCATAGGTAGCTCGTATGCCGCTCGTACAAAGACTGCCTACGGTTGCCTATAGCCACATTATAGCTCGCTGTTAGTCATAGCAGTACGATTCAATACGCAGTTTGCTCGCCATGTTGCGTATGTAGCTCGTTTGCTGCTCGCTAGCCGCTCGCTCCAGTTGGTCTCGTCGCGTGTTCGCTCGCTCTAGCTCGGCATATGTAAAAATACTTGTCATTTTGCGAAAATATAATTTAATTATAGTAGCGCTTATATTAGTAAACAATTTTGTAACGTCCAAAACAATTTTCAATTTGAAGTAGCAGAAAATATATGAACAGCAGGACATATCTATCATAACATTTAGTTAACATCTCATGGCGGCTACCCACCAAAACAAAGAAATTTGCAATACATTACTACAATACTATTTTATAGTTAAAACCAATTTTCCGTTAACAGTTGTAACGTCCGAAACAAAAAATACCAATAAAATGATGATTATCCATATTTTAGGGTATCTAGAGTGAATAAATTATTATGAAATAAGATATTATATGTCTTAACACAAGTCAAAACACAAATCAGGTCTTTCAAATCCATTAATTTTTTGTAAGCACAAGAATGGTGTTTCGGACGTTACACAATTTTATTGTTAACACAAAGTCGACAAATTTCAAATAATTTTCGATCATATCTGCAAGTAACGAATTTACAATGGACATTCCTGTTAAAAACACTATTTTGATGACTTTATTTCGATTTAAGTATAAAAATGTGTAGAAATATGATGCCAAAAATCAAATAATCCGTAAATTATCTAAATTTTCTGCAAAATTGACTTATAAAACATAAAACATTGAAGCCGCACTTTGTGATGCAAGGCATGGCTGGCTGCTTTTGTATGTCCTTAATTGTAATTTATCAGAAAAAATCTCAACAAAAGTGACTCATAAAAAATATTCAGCCACTTTAACAGCACTTTCTGGTATGCTGTTAGCACGTTTCGGACGTTACATTAAACTGTTAACAGACATTTTCATACTTAAACTAGTTCAAATGAGGGGCAAAGATAGACGTGAGAATAGCAAATTTCAATTGTTCAACTTCTCCTTTTGCTATTTACATTGGTGTGTGTTTGCAAATCATGAGGTTTTCATTTTAATAGAGGTTGTTCCAAATGATGTCATATAAACCAAAGATTTTATGGTCAATATACACTATTTGGTAGGCTACAAAACTCAAAATCACCCACTTAAGCAATACCCAGTGTACATGGTCATGACATGTATATGATACAGGTATACATGTATGAAGTTGATAAGATCAAGCAAATTAAAATGTTTTTTCTAAAAATTTATGGGAAATATGATATGTATTTTTATCTGAAAATACATGTAAAAAAGGGCACTCAGTACATGTAACTAATCTGTGTAGAAAGGATTACTACTGCCATTATCCAAAACTGGAATTGGCAATTACGCTTAATAATGATAACAATTTATCAAGCAATTCAATGAAATTGGCTTGCACACTACATGACACACTCATCACTCATACAACACTAATCAGTAATAAGTATCCGATTCCTATTATAGAAACTTGTACAACATAATGTTAAAATGGCTGTAGATCTGCCAAATTTCCAAATGACAAGAAAATGGATTACCAATTTGTGGGGGTAATTAATATAATAAGCATGAACATGAAAATAAGGTGTAGCCTCTTCAAAATTAATTAATTCATAATTTTTTCCTTTCATTTGATGAATTACCCTCAAATGTACTCGTCTTTTACAAATACTTTTCAAATGCTTGACCCTCCCAACAAATTTACATGTTAATGATCATTTCATGATCCTAAACATACATGTATATGTATATGTATAGTATCTTCCTCAAATTTATGCAAAAATATTGGGATGTACAATAAATTAGGATTCCCATATTTCTTATTACTTAAATGGCTGGGGATACTTTTGTATGCTTTTATTATTTTGTTAAAATTATTTTTTCTATAATGTTTTGCTTACACTGTACATACTGTACATGTATGTGATAGTGATATTATTGAATGACACACTACATGAATCTAGTTTAAGGCAAAGTACAAAGCAAGCCGATTAAACATCTATGTTGTAAAGTTTGTAGAAATTGATGATCTGATTGAAATGTTCACATCGTGTAACATCCGAAACAAACTATAGCATATATTGCACTGTTGTTCATAACCTGCAAAAGAGAGTATGTTTGTAAGTGAATTTTTCAGGAGTTGTGATGACTACAATTGCTATTAGCTTCATATTTCACTTTGTTAGATCACATAAGCATTTTTAACTAGACGTTCCTGAAATGAACAGTATACCTTACATAAATTGAGTAGTCAATGAAGATAAACTAGATATATGTGCAAAACTAATTAAAACTGCACAATTTTTTCAATAAATGTTAAAGAAATATTTTTCTGCAAACAATTAATGTAACTTAGGTCAATAATACCTAAAGAAAAGCAATTAACTTGAATAAAGTTATGATGTTAACAGTGTGTAACGTCCAAAACACCAGTGGTGAAAATTATTAGGCAATGCACTGGTTCCCCAATTTTTTTGGATGTATTTAACTTATATCATCAGTTGTAATAATAAAATAAGTTTGACCCAAGAAAAAAGCATTTTACCTATTGAAATAAAAACTTTTTATTGTCAAAACCCTAATTTGGAGCTATTTTTCACTTTCAAGGGACACAAAATCTGTATTTTTCGAGAAACTCAAAAATTTGCATAAATAATCTCTGAAACATATTCTTAAAGACCAACATATTTGTTGGTGAAGTTAATAGCAAATGAGTTTTATATCACAGTTATTAGATATGCTATAGTTCACAATAAAATTGTAAAAACTCAAAGTATTCATACCTGGTGAATAAATAAGGAGATAGATTTAAGGTCCAAAATTTGCATTTCTCAAAAATATGAATAGTCCTGATCCTAAAAATACATGTTTGAAGTGAGTAAACATAATTTCATTTCGGACCCTATTCAGTGTGGACACATTTGGTATACCGGGTATGTTAAAAAAAACCAGTGCCATATGCAATCCTACAATATTCAGTAATCGTTGTCGCTGTTGAAATGGAGTCTAAAGTGATGAAATTGTAAACAATAAAGTCTTCATGCTGTATAGCTCACTCTCAAGTGCAAGATATTAATTTAGCTTTAAAACAATTTTTTGGACTAAAATATACTAATTGGCTAATCCCGTTTGGAAATTATATATCACAACTCCATATTCTGAGATTTTCATTGTCGCAGCTACCATTGGATGGCCATTAGGCGCTATTTGAAATTTATCAAAATTTACCGGGAGCAGTGGTAAATTTTGATATTCAATTTTTCTCAAAAGCAGGAATGTTTTAGGGGCTAAATTTTCTATTGCTTAAAATACATCCTCAAGGGCATCCAAATATGTCAAAATTGTGAAGAATTGCTATCCGGCCATTTTCAAAATTTCCCCAAACTTTGTTTTACATTTAACAATTATGCTGATAAATCTTAAATCATTAGAACTATATCATCTTTGAATTTAAATACGGGTGTTGCTTTCAGAATTCTTGTATATTTCTGTCACATTTTGAAATCTGGGCCCTGTTTCATACAACTTGATATCAATCACAAACGCTAAATTGTTATGACAAATTTGCTCTCAGCCAATCAAATGCCATGGTTTCAGTAGCTTATAAGAGTTATTGTAAATTTTTATTGATAGCAAGATTTATGAAACAGGGCCGTGGTACATTAAGACGTGCAACTTTTTTTTTGAAATTAGAATAACCAAAATATTATTATTTTTCAAATTCATTTTCATTGATATCACTATTGAAATATTTCAGAGAATGGTAGCTTTTGGGAGTGAAGTTCTTTGGGAGGGCAATGCATGGCTCTAATACACTTTGTAATTTTGATAATTGTCTTTGATTGTGGGAATTATTTCATATCTAATAAGAAAGTCCATTAACCAATTGCTTCTTCTTTTTTTCTTTAGGTGAATCCTTTGAGTGTTCAGATTTGTCGGTTCTTCCAGCAGATAAAAAGTGCGATCACATAGCAGACTGCCCATTTAACGACGATGAACACGAGTGTGACATTGGTAAATTCCAAGTTTATATATTCTTTTTATTTTGTACAGAATTCTGGGATTTGCAAATGAATTTCTCAATGAATAAACCATTACCTTACTATTAAAACTATAATACAGTGCGTACGTCCCAGAAAAAACGAAACCAAGAATTATCGATGTTTTACCATAACTTTATCACATTTATAATTAATAAATGACACATATTTGGAAAGCTTAGATCCTCCTCATTCATTTTTCTTGAATGAGGTGTCATATAAAAGGTCAGAAACTCAACTTTCTAGAAATGTGATTTTCTCTTTGAAATTCTGATACCGCCCGCCAAACGACTTTTCGGTTTCCTCTCTTCAAATTGAGTTTAATCACTCATGCTTGAAATATGCATTATTATTATTATTATTTCCAAATATGTGTCATTTATCAATTATAATTGTGATTAAGTTATGATAAAACATCGATAATTCTCGGTTTCGTTTTATCTGGGACGCACTGTATTACCTTGATTCTAAGGTTTTTTTTCTCCATACATTTCTGACCATAACAAGTAGTCTCATGTACCAGGAGACTGTCCTAAGTTGATTGCCTTTACTGTAGTTGAGATCACATCAAATGTCAAGGAATTTTTTATTTCAATATTCTTTGGGGATTGATCACCTAAAATATAAGACATACATTGTCTCACAAGGTGATTAATTAGTAGTACTTCAAATATTGCACAGCACCTGTCGAAAGGATATATGTAAGACTATATACAAAGTAATGTCGCTTCTTTGCGGATTAAGTAAAAAGGAAGAAAACTCATACTCTCTATAAAGTAGTAAAGCCTTAGAACCGAGTAGAGAAACAAGCGAAGAAGTAGGACATGAATTAAGATGAAGCTGAATTAGCTTTGGTGCAGACTGAAGGCTCTCTCTAGAAGATGTGTGCTCTGTAAGAACAGCTCAGGAGAAGTGATGAATATAGGTGTGGCAAGCAAGTGTAATATACTGAACATGCTATACCAGTACCTTGGGTGGTTGCACATCCCAACACGTAGGCCCGAATTCACAACGGAGGTTTGTGGACAAAGGTTTGACAAACCTTGGTCTGTAATTCCCAAACCTCAGACCAAGGTTTGTAAAACTAGTCTCAGCCACAGGGTTCCTAACATATTCTCATGGGCTAGGGTTTAAATGTTAAGAATTAAAAAAACGGTTGAACTAAGCATTCTTAGTACGATCCGGACATCTTAATGAGCAATCTTGAAAAGATGATGGTTAGAACATCTGTGAAATAAACTTTTGAATTGCATTTTCATGAATTAATCGAACCAAACTGGCGCGCCGATGCAGAAAGTGTTATACCCACACTTGTGTAGTGCTGGTGAAGCACTCAATCTGACCAAGAACAAATTGAAATCGGCACCTGAAAACCTTTGTTAGATTAATACATCTAAGGTTGTGAAGGGCTCTTTTAAATCAACTGTAAGCGTCTTATTGTTTTTGGGGCTACAAATTCTTATCAATAAAATCGCCTAATAATAATAATGATTTAATATGAATTCAGTTTTTATTAATATATTTGATTAATATATTAATTCATTCGATTGCAAGTCGCACATCCTCCTTTCATGCCGTTTTAGTTTTGTCTTATATATTGTTTTCTATATTTAAAATTCTTAAGTATATACTTGTTAATTACTATAGATCTATATAGTTAATTTGTTAGAATGGTTAATCAATTATGTTAACTAGTTCCCCATTTGTTTCCCTAACTTGCCATTTTTTTTCACATCAAAATTGTAACTGGTAAATGATTCGTTTCCATATAATAATAATTTTAAAAAAATCCTCTATGGCCATCTTTTTTTTTCTCTCCCTCCCTGTCACTTTCTCTGTTCCCGTCCCTCCTCTTTCTTTCTACCCATTTTTGTTCTCTCTCTCTCTGTCTTCTTCTCTTTCGCAATGAAACACATAATGCAAAACCATGCGAACTCCCCCCCCCCAAAAAAAAAAAAAACGGGGGGGGGGAGAGAGAGAGAGAATCTGACGCATATCTTTTTCCGTTATCTTTGTAAATATATGAAAGCAAGAATATTGTATTTGTATTTTCATGTTTTACATAAAAAATTGAGCATGCAACACGATAGTAATTTACCGTTTGTTCAAACAATGCAGTTCACATTTGTACATTTTGTAGCATGCTTATATGAAATATAGCCCACTAGAGGATTAGAGCTCTGGAAGGACAATTAAAAGTCTCACTGTACCGCTATTAGCAGAAAGAATATCACAAATAAAACAAAATGGGTGACGAAAATTCAAATTTGCACATAATAGTTCTTTAATTCTGACTTCGCTTAGTACAGTAAATAATATTTGTTCGAATACTCTCCCCTAGCTGACAACCAAATAATTTATATTGACCCACCCCTCAACTCAGCAGTGTATACAATGCTTATTATAGTTAAATCGGGTGCATTTAATCTATAGAGAACACTTAATTACAAATACCGTCAGAGTGACAACAAATACTTATCAACTAAACATAACATCAAAAATATTCATAAATAATCAACAGTTCAACACCCAGGTTCTTGATGTAATGCTGCATAACTACGAAGTATTGTGGGAACACCAGGGAGGGGCCGTATTTTGAAATACATTTTGAGGTAATTCCAGTTGCAATCGAGTTAAATCTGTATTTTATAACTTATTACCGTATACATTGAAATTTTTTGTGGAATCCTTAATTAAATAATGTATAGCTCACTAAATAGATAGATAGTGGTGGTTATTTTACTTGACAGCTAAGAAAGCAATAAATGCTTGTTAGTAAGCTCCAGTGTCAGCTGTTTTAGGCTATACTTGGCCAAACCAATGCTATATTTGCACAACGTGAATTTCCCCAATATGGGCAACAGGAAAGCATAAAAATAATTAATAAGTGTCGACCTTCTCTCTTAGATTGATGAGGCATGGAACGTCCTCATCCTTGCATTTAATAAATATGCGTTCAATCACACATCTCCCTTTTTTTGTGTGTGAAGTGTTAAAGCCCCACTGTACTACTTGTAGCTACTTGCTCCCTCTATATAGAAAACTTCCCCAATCTGTGCCTGTTAATCCCCCATGATCCTCTTTTTCTTATGTTAATTGAGAAACGAATTGATGAGATAGCCTCCCGTCAGTGACCTCGCTGGGTTGTCTAATCCTCTTTGGCTGAACTAGTACAGATGGCCTTTAAAGCACATCTGTGGTCGACCCTCTGAATGAAGAAATGGCTTCTGATGAGGCAGGGAAGGCATGGATACCTGCAAAATTGAATGGACAAAATAAACAATATCATAAACAATATTCTTAATTTCAACTTGTTCATTTTTTTTCTTGGAGGGGGTGGGGGGGGGGGTGATACTATAGAAAGGATACAATGTATTGTACACATAATCAGGAATTATTCAATCCTGTGTCACTAATACAAAAACTATGAGGTTCCACTTGACAACAAACTAATCAAGTTGCATCCAGATATCAAAAACATTAATTGTGATTTGTGAACTGAAATTTAAAAGCACATATGAGCTCGTTTGAATTAATAACTTAATAATTTACATATCACATGTTGGCCAAAATACAAAAAAAGGAAACAAGATTGAGTAAGAAAAAGAATAAACAAATGTTTTCATATGAAGAAATAAGCTACCTACCCTATAGTCTATCTCCAAGAATCAACTGTTATTCATATGCCATATGTATAAGCTGTCAATTTAGTGCACACTAAGAAAAGATTCTGGCATCGTGGCTGCTACCAGTCCAGGCCACCTTGCAACGATACTAGTTATTTTCCCAGCATAATCACAGACAACCTGTCAATATGAAATAACATGTTGGCATTCATTAGTTATGAAAACTCACTCATTTCACACTTCAGATAGGCCGTGAAATGTATAAATTTCACTTGTTATTTATGGTAATTAATGCAAATGCAGTTGAATATGTGATAATTGCTTTTCAACATATATTTATACAACAAAAATTGGAAGAAAATGCTAATTACCCTATATTTATTGACTGATGAAATATTTCTTCATTTTTAACTCATTTTTTCATTGTTTATCTTGTAACAATGTAAAAATGTAAACAAAAATAATCTCACTTTTAACAAAACATTTTGAGCCTAAAACAACAAATGCTTTGTGTGTGTGGGGGGGGGGAGGGGTACCCACTCTCGCATCTTTTTATTGGAAATGAACCTGTTTGTTTTTCTATAGTTTAAAATATATAGTAAAAACAGTGGCCCGATTGCCATGGCCATCAACAAAATATCAGAAATCTAGAGGTCATATCCGTATTGCCAATAGAAGGATGGAACAAGTTTTGATTTTTCAAATTTCCCTTTCGTTAAAAAGATATTAACGAGTGTTAGGATTTTTAAGTTTAACTATCCATTGGATATTCTTAACTGTGTACAAAGGCAGTGAAATGAGTACCTGTACGCGAATATTACTTTAATATCCATTTGGCCACTAGAAATCTTGCATTGGTCACCAATGAATTAGCATGGATGTACAACACACAAGACTGAAGAGTGTATATATCTAATGTGAAAATTTTGCAAGGTACAAAAAAAAGGTCTAAAGGGAAAGCCGTGCTGGATCCAGTCATGATGTATTCATTTATTCTCACCTGAACATCGATGGAGTACCTGTTCTTCCTATTGAAGTAGTACCTGGCTCTTGCCCCACCAGGGCTCCTGATGTAAACATGTGTCCCATCAACAGCAACTCCTGGAAATCTGCAGTACTGGAAAAACTGCTTCTGAATAGTAGTCACTTTTTGCCTTGTTGTAACTTGTACTTGTAGGAAACTTCATGACTTGTCCCTTTCTTCTGACAACAGCTTCGGAAACATCCCTCACTACTCTCCATTCGGCAAACAGATGAATATGACACGGCATGCCGCCTCCTCACGGTGCATCCTTTAGATCGAATTACCTTTTTAAAAAAATTTAAAAAACAAGCATTCAAATAAATCATTTTTTTGCTGGTTTATGCTATTATATTTTTACATTCCCAACTGTCACTGTCATTAAAAAAAAAAAAAAATACTGATTTCTAGATGTGGTGTAAATCAATTTAACGTAAAAGACAAAATTGTCTAGACCTATGCCTTTTCTAATCTCCTTCACGGCTTCACCTTTTGTGAAATTTAAGCAACAAATCACAAACTTGTTTCCAACACATAATCTGAATAATTTCCTCATGTATTAAAGCCAAATAACAGTATTGGGAAATGCCCCACACACAAGTTATGAAAATTAATGCTTTCATAACCTACCATGTAAAAGAATAAATATCATAACTAATCTTTCAATGTGTGGAATATGACAGAAAATGCTTAGAAATTGAATAAATTTATGTAAACGCACATGTGCATGGCATTAGGGGCTCGCACGGTCGTAGGCAGACCAGCGGAGCGGGGCAAACGAACAGTGAATTTAGGCGGTCAACATGAATTGAAATATTTCTGGATTTTAATAACGACACTAGGGTTGGATTTTACAACAGAAGCCCTTTTTTATAGCTATGTTAACAATATTCATCAAGTAGTTTGGCCATGTTTTCGCGAACTTTCCCAATACAGAATTTGAATTCAAAGTACCTCAATCTAAAACAAAAGGCTCATCATCCAGCGGGTTTTCCCAATCTCAGAGGCCTCTGCCGAGTTGTGCTGCTATATATTGCTCCAGCTCCTCCTCCAGGTACACCAGCTCATCATGCTGAATCAGCTGCATTTCTACCATCTTTACTAGAGTGAAGATAAAATGAAACAAATGTTTAAACAATGTTTTTAAAATAAAGAAATGTTACTTGTGCTTGTGACTTAGTGGGTGATCCTGGCTCTGGAGACTAAGCCAGTTAATTAAGACAATTAGAACCAGATCTAAATTTAATAAAAGCTTTGCTTGTCATGACTCATAAACAGAAATAACCGTCTGATATGGGTCATTTCTTTAATAAAAATAATAAAACTGACATTTGTTGACATTCTATAATCGGAGGTCTAGTATGGAGCCAGATGTAGTCTCAGTGAACAACTGGCAATATAGAGAGACTGAAGCTTTTGGTCTATGCTTGTCAGTGTGATTCATTTTGGGGAACATTGCATTGCTGATGCCACTTCAATTTCTATTTATTTATGTAGGTACCAGTGTGTCCAAGTCAAGTGATGCATGGACATCATTGCCAGGCCTAAGCTAGAGCCTGGTATTAATATCATTATTATGAATTTGTAATAACTAGTGTAGGTCTAGGCCTAGTCTAATTGGCATGTGTCATGGCATTGCTGACAACAAGACAAAATTAAACATGACAGTCATACTCAGTTATCTACTGTAGGCCCGGCTAGGCCCAACTCCAGCCCAGGGTCAGAGGGTGCGAGCTCCGCCGCCGTCTTGGGCGTTGGACTTGAGCTCCCTCAGACACAGTCCCTGAACTCTGGAATTGAGAGGCCGTCGGATATGAAAACACCGAACATTTCATGGAAAATGGAAAGTTATAAAGCATATCAAATAGTGAAATGTCAGTAACGTGAAGAGTATGAATTCGACTACATGTACAGGTTTTATACTTACGATTTTAAGGAAAGGATCAAGAGATTGAGAGATTTCAATTGCACTAAAATCGGGCTGACCAGATACTATCGCAGATTGTTTTGGCGGTGAATTATTTGGATAAAATCAATCGAGCATAAATTATCTCCACCCAGCGCTGCATCCTGATTGGTTGATAGCTCTCAAACCAGGTATGAGAAATTACAAACCTCCTATCTGAGCAGTCTGTAAATTTCGGGTCTGATGACGTACATAAACCTGGTCTGAGGACAAACCTTGCTTTGTGAAATGTAATTTCAGACCAAGGTCTGAACTCAAACCTGAAACGCGTCATATGACGTACATAAACCTTGGTCTGAGGACAAACCGGCTTTGTGAAATGCATTTCAGACCAAGGTCTGAACTCAAACCTGAAACGCGTCATATGACGCACATAAACCTTGGTCTGAGCTCAAACCTTGCTTTGTGAATTCGGGCCATATTGTCTTGTATTACAACCTGTAAGTAACACTTATTTGAATTGAACAATTCAGCCATTGTTCCTGCACAAAATGCATATCTACCTTTGGAAATCTAAACCTTTGGAAATCTAAACCTTTCTCCAAACTGATAATTCCAAATCTGAATCATATAAATTCTTTGCCTATGAAATCGAGGTGGCTGATCAAAACAAATAGTGTCACTGCACCACTTGTGATTTAATACCTGTCAAAATACAAAACATCATTTTGCAATTTTATCAAACGTTTAAAACATTGTTTAGCCTGACAAAATATCCTTTTAAAAAACTTATTCAATTTCACTGAATCTCAAATACTCAATTAATGCAAACATTTAATATAATGTCCTCCTGTCTTTGTTGCTATTCTCTGAAAGTCTGAATGCTTATGGACATCACAAATTGTTCTTCATATGTCTTGTTTTTTTGTTCAAATGTTGCAGTTAGTGAAATTCTTCTGAAATTACTTTATCAGCTGATCATTTATCACGCTTCAAACACTTGAATCTGCGTCCAACTTGCTTATCCGATAAAATTAATTATTCTCCATCACAGAAGGAACATGACTCGCGATTTATAAATTGCTTTCAAAACACGTTGCTTTAAAGTTGCTGGAAATGCTCTTGATCCAATAAATTGACGTTGATCACAAAATAATTTTCATTGGCGGCGCTTGGCTCGCACCAATTTCACAAAGGTATTTTATCACTTCCACATGGCGGTTGCAAAAATTGACGTTGATCACAAAACAATTTTCATTGGCGGCGCTTGGCTCGCACCAATTTCAGAAAGGTATTTTATCACTTCCACATGACGGTTGCAAGAATTGACGTTGATCACAAAACAATTTTCATTGGCGGCGCTTGGCTCGCACCAATTTCACAAAGGTATTTTATCACATTCCACATGGCCGTTGCAAGGCTCCAATTTTCTTGATCCAAATTAAATTCACAGTGATCCAAACTTCACAAAAAACATGCTATCACATTCCAAATGATACGAGTTGAGCACTATTCTGCTTCCAGGAGCGAACACAGCTTTATATCACTGGCCTCGTGAGTGTTGTGGATTTTGTCTTTATCCTTGCACTGCGAACTAGACCATCTTTACCCGGATATACTTCCTCCACTCGTCCCATCTGCCAGCAACATCTAGGCGCGTCCTTATCAGCAATCAAGACGACGTCTCCCACTTGTAGACTGCGATTTGGTTGGGCCGACTTCTGCCGTTGCTGCAAGGTAGGAAGGTACTCACGCACCCATCTCCGCCAGAAGGTATCTGCTAGTAACTGCATCTGCCGCCATCTTTTCTTAGAGTATACATCCTTCTCTGAGATGCGCCCTGGGGGTGGACTTGTAGTCATCTTGGCCTGTAGTAGATGATTAGGTGTAATGACATCCAGGTCATTGGGGTCCACTGAAGCTCTTGTTAGAGGCCGACTGTTTATAACTGCCTCTATCTCACACATTAAGGTGTGAAGCTGTTCATCACTCTGGGCAGTTTTCAAGTACTGTTCATGTAGTATGGCATGAAGGATTTTTCTGATAGTTCTTATTTGTCGTTCCCATATTCCTCCAAAATGTGATGCAGCAGGTGGATTGAAATTCCACTGAATTCCATGATTACAGCAAAAGTTCATGATCTGCTCCTGACTCCATTCTTGTAGAGCCTGCTTCAACGCACTACAGACACCCACCAAATTTGTGCCATTGTCTGAATACATTGTCTTAACAGAACCTCTTCGACTAACAAATCGTCTTATGGCATCTATGGCAGAACTGGTGTCCAAGCTAATTGCCACTTCTATGTGTATTGCTCGGCTGGTCATACAGGTGAACACAACACCATAACGTTTCTGCATGCTTCGACCACGCCTCGTCTCAAAAGGCCCGAAATAGTCCATGCCTGTATATGTGGAAGGAGGTTCACATGCTGCAACCCTAGGCCTTGGAAGATCTGCCATCTTGTGTGTGTTTTTTTGGCTTGGTACCTTCTGCATGTAACACATTGTCTGATGATTGTCTTTGTCAGCACACCTGCTCCAATTATCCAGTACTTCTGAAGAAGTTCTGTTAGAACATGGTTTTGACCTTGGTGTGCTACACTTTGATGAACATGTCTTACTATCAAGGTAGACACATGGTGCTTTTTGGGCAAGATCACCTTATGTTTTGCATTTCCATCAATCTCGGCATTCCTTAGTCGTCCGCCAACCCTCAGTACATTGTCATGCATTTCTGGATCTAGCTTTATGATGCTGCTGCTCTTGCGTATGGCCTTTCCTGGCTGATTTCCTTTCTGATTCAAGGCTTCTACTTCTTCTTGGAAGGACTCAGATTGCACCCACCGAACGATAGCCAATTCTGCACCATTCACTTCTGCTCCTGTAAGGGTGTCAGAACACACTTTATCCAAGAACAACTTGGCCCTTTCTTTCAGTTTTCCTTTGAGCCTTAGCCACCAAGCAACAGCCCTTCGTAACCTTGTTCAATCTGAGAAATATGTGATCAACTTGTGTACTGTTTAAACTTCTCCTCCAGGCCTTGTTAAACCCACCATGCAGGTTTTCTTGATCTCAAGCTGCTCATTCTTTCCATCATGAGACATGTCAGGTGTCTTAGGCCATTCTTCAGATTTCAGAAGAAACTCTGGGCCACTTTTCCATTCTTCATTCAACAGTTATTCTTGTACTTTCAACCCCCTTGAGCCTGCGTCTGCTGGATTGAGACTTGATTTGACATAATGCCACTGGTCCGGACTAGAGCCATCTTGAATCACTGCTAGCCTATTAGCCACGAATGTCTGGAATCTTGCTGTTGTGTTGTGAATGTAGCGCAATACAGTCTGGCTGTCGGTCCAAAAATAGGTCCTCTTGACTGGTAACTCCCTTTTGATCACCTGATCTATCTTCACTGCCACGCTTGCTGCAGTCAATTCCATTCTCGGGATAGATACTTGCTTAAGGGGTGCTACTCTTGATTTACTCAGCAGGAATGAACACCTGGTCTCTCCTTCACTATTTTCCATTCTGAGGTAGGAGACTGTCCCATATCCAACCTCGCTGGCATCTGCAAAATGATGGAGGGAGATAGATTCTGCTTGCTCATATGAGGCTGGCCTCAGACATCTTTCTATCTTGTACTCTGACAACATCGGAAGTTCCTCTAACCAGCCTTGCCACAATTTCATCTGTTTGGCTGGTATCTCATCATCCCATCCTATCTTGAGTCTACATAGGTCTTGTAGTAGTTGTTTTGCTGTTAAGATCACAGGAGACACAAAACCCAATGGGTCATACACTGAGCTGATGATTGATAGCATGCCCCTTTTTGTTGGCGGCCGATCCTTGATCTTGATGCTGTAGCCGAATGAGTCGACTGTTTTAAGTTTGTCCTTTTCAAAGTTTAGCCGTTGAACGCTGCTGGCTCTCTCGTCCTTTGGTATTGCATGCAAAACTGCCCTATGGTTACTGTTCCTTTTGGTGAGGTGGAAACCTCCTCTTCCACATGTGGCTTGTAGCCCTTTTGAGAGCTATACAGCCTTCTCAACAGTAGAGGATGAGTATAGACAATCGTCTACATAGAAGTCGTGTTGTATGATATGTGCAACTTCTTCATGTTCACACTGTTCTGCTGTCTGTTTCAAAGCATAGTTGGCACATGCTGGTGAGGAGGTGG